CNNCNNCNNCNNCNNCTTCTTCTTCTTCTTCTTATTATTATTATTATTATTATTATTATTATTATTATTATTAAGATTAGAAGATCAAACAAAAAAGTAAAATGCAAATTTACACCATTATCTTTGCTTAATTAACTTGAGTGTGAGATGTGATGCTTAGTAGGGGTGATCTATTTTGATGCAAAAGGCTATGGAGTTTTATAGTGACCGATTTATTAAGGACAAATGTAAAATTTCATTGTCTTCGAATGAATGAGAAAAATAAATTTATGTTTCATAATTCTCAATGTAACTATTTTGTTTTTTAAATATATAATACTTGAACTGTAGATTAATACAAAAAGCCCTGGGCCTGGCGGCACGGCGTTGGCGGACGGCCCGTCTGTTTGCCCCCGAGTGGTCCTGATCTTCAAGCATCGCCATGTCGGGAGTAGTGGGGCGGTCGGAGTTGGTGGCAGTGTTCGGCGGACGCCACGGTGGTCCTTGCGCCGGTCGGGGCGGCGGCTTAGCTAGGGCTGCAAACGAGCCGAGCCGAGTCAGGCATTGGCTTTATCGAGCAGGATTGAATTTTTTTTTTCGAGCTGCTCGAGCTCGAGCTCGATTTTTTAGGGTCGAGCTCGACTCGATAAGAAAATACAAGCTCGAGCTCGACTCGAATTCAAAATGCTCGACTCGGCTCGAGTTCGGTTCGAAAATTTTCAAATAATTTTGTCAAATTATATATATAGGAGGGGTATTTTAGTAATTTACTATATATCTCGAGTTGCTCGCGAGCCGCTCGACAATGTAAAATTTGAGCTCGAGTTCGTGCTCGAGCCGCTCGAGCCGCTCGAGCTCGACTCAAGTTCAGTCAAACTCGAGCTCGAGCCGAGCTTTGACTCGAGCGCTCGCGAGCGGCTCGTGAGCGCTCGACTCGTGTGCAGCCCTAGGTTTAGCCTTGGTTTTCCCCTCTGTCGGCCTTCTCTGGTATTGGGAAGGTCGGCTCCCCAGGTGGCGCGTGTGCAGTTGTGCCTCGGCTCCAGAGTGTGCGTGGGGAGGCTGTGGACCGGGTCGGCTTGGGTTGCGTCTGCGGAGTACTAGGCGAGGCCGACGAGTCTGTGGTCCGGATCTAGTTAGCCCAATAGGGGAGTTTCTAGATCAGTTTGTGTGGGTTGTGGATCTTGTGGTTTCACTCGATAGTTTCGCATTAGGTGTTGGCTCGGGATGCGGTGGTGCTGGGAGCTCCGGCCGGTGGAGAGGGCTTTAGATTTTTCTTTGTTTTAGTTTTTGCTTGTTTAGACGTGATTTGTGTGTGTTTGTGTTGTTCTGTTTGTATTTTATTTTTTTCTCTCCCGTTGGGAGTGTGTTCGATGTATTCTTCAGTTGGAAACTTTTGTTTTTTATTCTCCTTTTGAGAGTTTTTTAGTTGTGTTTTGGTGTAGGTTGACTCTAGGCTGCCGTCTGTATGTACATGTAGTCCTCCCTACTAGAGTCAGTTGTCCAGTTTATTCGGTCGTTTGGCTGTAAATTCATCTGGAAAAAAATGTAGATTAATACATCCATTTGGTGATATGGAATGGGGTGTGTTTAATTTTATTCTTTACGTTTCGTTTTTGTTCTTCCTTTTTTTGCTGTTGATAAACGTGAACTGTGAACAGTACATGGTAAACTTAATCTTATATAAATCTATAAAGGCATCACGATATAACTTTAATTAGTCATAACTCATAATTAACTATTATGATTTACTATAATAACACTTTCATCATGATGAAAAACATTGAATTCGGAGATCCTAAACTGATCCTAATAATGACCATATATATACGCACAATTAATGATCGATCACTATGGATTCTCAAGAGGTGAAGACATGATGAAAAACGTTAAATTCGAAGATCCTAAAGTGATCCTAATAATGACCATATATATATGGATTCTCGAGAGGTAAAGAGATGGATAGGTGGGATGAATGTATCCCGTAATTTTGTCAATAATTCTTTAATATTTAATATTCTTATGACTTATTTGTTTCATGACAATCTGTTCATTTACAAGTTAAACGTTAGTTGAATCTATCTGAAACGTAGGTAGTGTACGATGAGTGTGCTCAATAGTGTTAGAACACTAAAAACAATTAGAATAGCGGAAGCAATAAACCGAAAATTTAAAAACTTTTCAGGGAAGCGTCTCACTTCCCCTCAGAGGTCTTTCATTGATAAACCGTTTGTGCACACTTGTATAGTTTGGACTGACACGACTCAAACTCTCTTCTAGCCTAGCCACAACTACACACGATTCTATCAATTACTTCTCCGGCCACGTCCCGTGGAATTTCTTACACTTGAATCCCTCGAGCAAAACTAACACTTAATCTCTAAGTGCTAATCACAATAATGTTCGAGTAAAAACAAAGAAAAAAACAAACGACCTCAGTTCTTCGATATGTAAGAACACCGAAAACTGAACCGAGAACTAAAACAAAAGAAGACTTGAAGCTCGAATGTTATGAGAATAATGACAATATCAGCAGCCTTGATTCGATATTCAAGTAGGGTATATATACAAATCCTTAGGCATGGAGTCTTCTCTAAGTTTCTTCCTTCTTTTTTGATCTCCGCGATCTTCTTGCCTAAAATAGGGTTGAAACATGGAAAGTAAATCTTCCTTAAATCTTCCGTGATTTCCTCTAGATCTTCTTATGAATACACGTGTTTCCCCTCCATCTGCCATGCACAAAGATTTCCTACAAAATAATATCATAATAGGATCATGCAATCTAATATACGTATATATAATATAAACCGAATATATAGAAATAAATATAAATAAAAAAAACTTCTCTTTTATAGATTTCTTGTGCTTGTAGGAACATATCTTCAATATATTTATTTTTGATCTCATGCCAAAAATAAGTCTTTCACTATCTATATCTTTTGTTCAATAAAAATATATATTTATGTTTCATATGTTACGTGATATGTTTTTATTAAAACTATTTTTTAAACTGTTTTATTTTCCTGTAAAGTGTCGATATGAATCGTTATAATATGTTTGCCTTGCTTGGCAAAAATATGTATATCTGGCAAAAATATGTAATTTTCCTATATGCATATTTATTACAAAAATATATTCGTCTAATGATTTAATACATGCTTAAGTAGATGAATCATTGTTTCAAAAATATTTACAAGGAAAAATAATAAGAACATAGTGTCTTGTAAAATAAATGACCCCAAATTCTAAGGAGATTCGTCACTTCTCTCGTCCTACACCCAACCAAAGAACAAAATGAGAAAGAGAAAATAATATTTTTTAATAAAGAAAAAATAGCTATTTTAACTTTGAAGAGTTTTTTTTCACACGTCCAACTAATAAGTTAATTTTCAATAAATTTGAGGTGAAAATAAATAAATAATGTACTCCTTGCAAGAGAGCGTAATGAAATAAATAACAAAATTTCCCTTTTTTTCATGTGCCCAAATTTTATGATTTAATTCTCAAGACTCGTCTCGCTTTACATTCCGTGTTTCCTTGTTAATTTTGTTTTTAATTTCTCGTTTAATAAAATGAGTACTTGCATGTGTGGATACTTACCACCTTATTTTAGAAATATATTTTCAAATAGAGTTTTTAGTATGATATTAGTACAAATTGTGTGTTAGAAACGTATAATTAAGTACCTAATTATTAGTTAGCCTAACATAAGATCAACAAAAAGTAAAATACAAATTTGCACCATGTATCTTCGCTTATTTAACTTGCGTGTGAGATGTAGTACTTGCTTGGTAGGGTGATTTCTTTTGTTGCAAAACGTTGTGGAGTTTTATAGTGACCGCTTTATAAGGACAAATGTCAATGTGTTAGAATGAACGAGCAAAATATTTAAATTTATGATTCATAAGGATAAATTTCTTTTGTTCTCAATAAAACTCATTTTTAAATAATATTATTAACGATCGTTTTTACCAATAAGCCGTTCGTTTTCGCAACTGCGGTGAGGGTGCCACTCTTCGACTCCAGCCGCAGAGGTCTGTTGGTCCACGGGAGTCCGACTCATGCGATGTCTCTTTTCAGCCTTTTGGAAGTCGCGGATGCCCGACTTTGTTCAGAGTTTTCTTCAAGTAGGCCGCGGCCCGCCCGACCGCCGTGTGGCTAGGCCTTCGACGCTTGTCCGGTTGCATCTTGGGTGGTGTAGTGTCCCGTTTGCTTCTCGTGAATGTTTAGTATTTTTATTTCATTTATTTCCTCACTTGTATTTATTTATTTGTTTGTTTTTATTCGATTGATTGCCTAAATTTATTATATTATCAATGTTTGATTTTAATTATCTTTACGTCTTGCTTTTATTTTGTGATATGTGCATTGCTTGTTTTTATTTTACTTATGTGCGTTGTTTGTTTTTATTTTACTTATGTATTTGCTCTTATTTCAATTTTATGCTTGATTTAATATCTTGTATGCTTAGTGCAATTTTATTAAATTGCTAGTTAGATCGTTCGGAAATCCTTCGGATAATTGCGTCATATTCTTTCAAGTCATTTTTATAAACGAGCCTTGAGTTTGATACTCAACCCATTTTATTTGGAATTCTCGGCCCTTTTAGAGTTATTTCTTCGACCCGTTTGAGTTTATTTATTTTGGCCCGTAGAAATTAATTTCGACCCAATCTAAGCCCATCGAGTCCATTTTTTTTNGATAGTACGCTTGAATTTTAAATTATATTTCCTTCCATGCTGATATAAACATGTTCCTAACAAATAGGTTATATCCACTTACTTTTTTTTTTCAACTGAATTACTATAGGGACGTGATTGTAGGAAGGTGGATTCCTTTGATATCGTCCATTTTCAATTCAGCACAAGATAAAGGCACTTCAATTTGGTATGCATACTAATAAAATATGATAGCTTGTATATTAGAAATACTAGTTGGTCCGCCGGTTGTGTACGCACAGCTGACCTATATCCAGTCGTTAAATTTAGTCTTTTAAGGGACAACATTGTGTTAACTAAACATATAATTCTGTCATCACTTCACAATTAAGCATATGATTGTCATATATCCATTGAAAAAACAACATTGGAAACAAAGAAAAAGTCCAAAATAACACTGAACAACAAAATAGTGTGTAATCTTAACAAATCGAAACCTACAATACAGAGAAAAAGCAGAAGACCGCACCCAAAATAACATTGCTGAAGGGGTGTCATGACATAGGGATTGCTGTGGAAGTCTCATGTTCCTCTCCTCGTTCACTAATATAGTTTCGAGATGTTTCTCAAGCTTTGAATTTTCCTCACCAGTTGGTAACATATACATATCATAAATCCTGTATGATTGAGTAATCTCAATTATTAAACCAAATTCAACATATATTCACATGAGATACACACGTGGAAAAGATGAGAAAAGCACATTAATCATTCTGAACCTGTCTACCTACAATAAGATTCTCGTACACTTACGTGTCATTCATACATGTCATTCAGCCAGAGTTCAAGCTAAGCTCATCATATAGTCTGGACAAAAAATTGACAAAAGCTTTTCCTACTATATTTTGTTTCTAAAATAAGAATTTATTACAGTGCAAAAATGGCAAAATTTCAAAATTGGTCCTATAACTTGGCAACTGTCCAAAAAACCACCCCGATATTGACCATTTTCAATGTAGGTCATATAATTTATCGATTTCATCAATTTTGGTCCTTTTTTATCCGCCCCTGGATTACAAAGTGACGTGGCATGACGTGTCAGTTTTTCAATGTTATATGGCGTGATTATGATCTACGTGGCACGTCAATTTTGGTCCTATAATTTGACGATTTCATCAATTTTAGTCCTTTTTTCATGCTACGTCACTTTTTAATCCAGGGTGCGGATAAAAAAGGACCAAAATTGATGAAATCGACAAATTATAGGACCTAAATTGAAAGTGGTCAATATCGGGGTGGTTTTTTGGACAGTGACCAAATTATAGGACCAATTTTGAAATTTTCCCGTGCAAAAATTGTCCAATCATTTACATTAGGATGTCATTTAAGGAATTCAAAATTACATGCACTCCATGACCGATTTTATCAAAGCTCTCAAACAAAAGTCTTATCTTCTGTTTATTTAAGGAATTCAGCATCTGGAAACTAATAGTTAAGAAGCAAAAGTTCCCAGACAAGCCTATCCCCAGAATATTAAAGCAAAAGATGAAACACATCATTTTGCTCTATTCTTAGAACAACTTCTTTTATTTCACTAACTATTGTTAGTATTTGTTGTACATTTCCTACTTCAGGATTTTTAGCCATTTAATCCTAATTCTTTTCCAATTTGATTTACAAGTAAAATTACCTTGCTTAAATTTTCCATTAATGGTTCAATTTGTGGAATTTTCTCGTCTAATTTTATTAAAGTTTCTTCTAACCTATTTACGTTTATTCTGTTAATATTTTCAATAATTTTGTCAGCTTTTGCTGCAATATCAAGAATTTCTAATAGTAAAGTATCTAGAAATTCGATATTTCTACTCGTTTTTTCAAGTCTTTCAATAATTAATTCTTGATTATTTCGGATTTTTTAAATATTCTCCCAAAGAGGAGTATTATTTATTCTACTCATTTTTCAAATATTTGAATTTTAAGCATTTTAGCTTATTTTTTGATATTTTTTAGGATTTTTTCTTTAAAAATAGGATTAAGGACATAAATGTCTTTTTTCCTATTTCTATAGATTTTTTAATTAATTTTTACAAAATTTTTGGTGAAGGGTCATTTACCCAATTTGTTATGTGCATAGGGTCATCTATATATATATAATTACTAGCTAATAGCATTTAAGAAAACCTATTTAATAAAACCTCTAAAACTTTCCCTCCATTTTCGGTTACAAAATTTATCATTAATGTTTTTTACTTCTCACATTAATACATCCTATTGAGTGTAATCATGTATTTTTCTATTATATTATATAATAATTAATGCTAATATCAACTAATAATAATTCACAATAAATATAAATTGCATAATTATAAATAATTGTTTCAAGTTATTTATTTTAACATCAATATTATCTTTTTCTTTTGTATCTCATGAAAAAATTTCTTTAAAAACAATTAGTAAATTATTTTAATAGCATAGTCAAACAACTTTAGAATCTTATAAACAATTATTTTTGTAATAATAATAATAATAATATAATAATAATAATAATAATAATAACAATAATAATTATAATAATCAAACTGCTATTATCTAATGATAATAAACAATTTTTTAAAATAATGAACAATCATTAATTTATTTTTCCTAATGATTAAATTTAAAAAATATAATATTTTTATTATCTAAAATTTTAATATTAAATTCTCAAATATTACTTATAGTATTTTATGTACAGATGTGCATGTCCACAGGATATTTACTAGTTTGAACTAATTCCCTCCCGAGGTTCCCCATTTGAAAGGCCCGCTACCTCTTGTTCGCACTTCTCGTTGCATAAATGGCACCTGGCCACAGCTCGTACCTGTCGGTGTCATGCATAATCGGCAAATCCGTCCCCAGCGGCCCCGGCCCCGTCCCCGGCCCGGCGTCGTAGACGGTCAATCCATCCACAAAAATAACCCCCAAATTTCTCGACAGCCCTCCAGCTTCCACCGCCGCAAGATTCAATTTTTGGTAATTAGGTTTTTGAAAAGTGAGTGGAGAGAGTGATTATGGTGTCAGTGGCAAGGGGAAGATGAAATGCGAGTGTGTTGGGTGATTAGTGTTGGAGAGGAATTGCGTGTGCGAGATTTCTGAAAGAAAAGTAGAAAACAGATCTCCGTCTTTGTCACGTCGCACCAGATTTTGGGAGCAAATCCCTCGAGCACGATTGCAGAAACAAAAGAGCCACGCAGAGTTACGTATAAGACCCTCCAAAAAGCTAGTGGCAGATGAGTAAAAACATGGGAAGAAAAAGGGACACTACAACAAACAAAATAGGACACGTGTCAGCTCCAGACTCAGCCTTGAATGTTGGCTTATATGTATTGGAGAGAGATTAAAATTGGCCATAAATTTTTGTATTCAATGGCACTCTACTGGCCCTTACATAATTATTAACGTGGGCTTGGCCCGATGGAACATAGGTAATAGGCCCATTATCCCAGCGGTTGACGTCAAAAGGCACCTGAAATTGGAATTTGAGCACGAAATACCTGATTCCCCAAATCCCCTCGTTCGCGCGTTAGGGTTTATGCGGATGCAAAATTTGCTCTGATTACTTTGTTTACAGGTAAATTTTGTGTTTTCATGAGAAATGTAAACATCATGAAGCTGCATATAGTCCAGAACTTATTTTATTAACGATGTTCTAATTCGTTGCGGGTATGCGTAGAACGCACTATGATTCGTGTGTGCATTTGATTTGCCTGTGGATTATATTGTGATAGAGATTTCCCATATGGATGCTAATTTTTGTAAAACCTGCGTCTGTGATTTCCCTAATGAACTCTCGAGGGTGGTGTTTTGCGCCGTCTGATTATGCTATCCTGCAATATTGATTTGCAGCTATCCATTTGTTTGATGTTATTTTCCGAATCATATTTGTAGTGCTCGAATTGTAATTGGATTAGGGATGTTAGCTGCATGATCTTCGTATGTTGCCTTAGGAGTATGGGCCAGTTTGATATTGTATGTCAATCAAAGTTTTCGTCGTTATATAAAGTGGGATAGTTTACGCCCATTTTTTGGTATATTTTTTTCAGAAAAATGGTTAGGGGCTTATGTTATGTCATATGTGATAAGATTACATTCTGGATTTTTGTCCTTTCGTAGATAGATAAATATATGGTCTTGAATTACTCAAAGTTGATTGTACTTAGTTTGGAATTGGTTGAACTGAAATTGATATATCATGTGAGATCATTTAATCCTATCTTCTGCGGGCAATTTAGAAACTAAAGAGCAAACCTTAACCCCCGATTCTGGATTTTTATTTAATTTTTGTATCAGGAAGGGAGAAACAACACCCATCTTTACGTTCAAAGTTGAAATAGTTAGAGCTACAAGATGCTGCAGATTCGGCTGAGCAAACCAGCTAGTGAAAATGGTGCGACTGTGAAACCTGTGCATGTGGACTCTGTCACAGTTGCATGTCCTGACCATCTTGTCTTAGCTGATCTTCCTGTAGCCAAGAGTCTCGGTTTACCATGTTCGACTGCTATTATTAAGACTGTTGGACGGAGGTCTCGTCGGCAGCTTGGCGAGCGTGTTCACTTTTGTGTCCGGTGTGACTTCCCGATTGCTATCTATGGGCGTTTGGTAAGTGCTCTCTCTATCTCTATCATTATTTTTTCAAGTATTATTGCTTTTGATCAATATAGGCTATGTTACCAAACATAAGTTAAACTTATAAGATAGCTTATAGCTTTTAAGTAGATTTAAAGCTTATACCTGATAGCTTATGACTTATAGTTGAAAAACTTGCTTATATGATAAAAGTGTTTGGTAAAATTAACTGCTCAAATTAAAATTTCATTGGGGTTATTTGAAAAGTTACCTAAGGAAGCTTATTAGATAAACTTGAGTTTTTTAAAAAATCTTGTCCTGCCAAGTCAAACTTATTTGAATACAAGAAGCTTATAAACTAATCAAATAAGCTATAAGCTAGCTTTTATACTTACCAAACACAACCATAGTTGTTGCAGGGCAGATCTAGAAAATAAAGTTAGGGGGGACTAGAACAATTAACGAACCGAACTGTGTTCGTATGATTCATGAAAACTTCAGTTCATCTCGCTAATATAGCTAAACGAGTCAAGTTATAACAATTATTCGAGCTAGCTTTTTAATTAGTTGAGTCAGGTCTATATGGCCGACTTCGATTTCACATTTTGTTCGTTTATTAAATGGTCTAGCCGAGTCGACTCATTTATTAAATGAGCACGAGCTTGAATTTATTTGACTTGACTCGGGTGGAATGATATCTTGAGGACTATATAATTTTTAATATCTCTCTTTCTCTCATTTATTTTAATGTGTTTTCTATAGTTTAAAAGAATATGCTGAGATTAAGTATAAACATAAATGAATATAAACAAAATTCTAGAGACTTATGTCTCCACTTTACCAAATATACAAAATATTGAACGATGTTAATATATAAGTAAATATCATATTTGAAAATAATAATATTATTAATTATAATTCATAAAAATGTGTTTCATTATAAATAATAAATACTCTATTAGTTATTTGTTATACAATTATTTTAATAATTTTACCATAAGAATGTTGATAATTTTATGTACTAATTTTTTATTATAAAAATATTTTTTCAAGCACCCGTGTAGTATACTGTGTGCCATACTAATATATATTATAAAAGAATGTACTAAGAGTACTTACAAAAATATATAATTCAAATTAATTAGTTAACATAAGAATACAATACATTGTAATAATTGTGGGGATGAATATAAGTTAAATATACTTTTTAATAATCTATATTAATATATATATGTATGTATATATATTAAAAAAAAAATAGAAGTNCCCCCCCCCCCCCCCCCCTACCCACAACATAGATCCGCCCCTGCCAGTTGGTGCCTCTACCTCTGTTGTTGACCAACAAAATATGCACGGCTGTTATGATTTTCCGATCGTGAATTTGTGAAATGTTAGAATTGTCTTTTATGCGATACAGTAAAGGATGGATCATGGATATGGATATCCTTTCGTGTTCCTCGTGTAAGGGTTATTATTTTGTCTGTTTGAAGCAATATTGGAAAAAAACGTGCTTTCTCAACATACTGTGCCATTTGTCTGACCATGAGTTCTCGTGCCAGTGCATTAAAAAAACTTATTTTTATCACTGCAGAGCCCCTGCGAGCATGCCTTCTGTTTGGACTGTGCTAGAAGTGATTCCCTTTGCTACCTGTAAGGCATATTTTAAACTTTACTGTCTATTACTTGCCATGACAAAGTTTCACTGTCGAACATTTTAATAATCTGATAAATGGTTCTTCTTCCTTCCCCTTTTTTGCCATTCATCTTCTGGTAAAACTCAGCTGTGACGAACGCGTTCAAAAGATCCAAACAATCAAAATGATGGAAAGGATATTTATATGTGCGGCACCCCACTGCCTCAAGTCCTTCTTGAAGAAGTCTGAATTTGAGTCTCACATCCGTGGGGCCCACGCCGATCTCCTTAACCCAAACATGCAAAAGGACGTGAACGAGTCGGAGGGATTAAGTGCCCGAAAACCCTTGGCTTCTGAGACTACGGTTCAGGCACCTGCTAAACTGGCTTCTTCTCCCCGTTCTAACCCTCAGGTTAACGACCGTGAAGACAAAAACCAGAGGCCCGTTATGCAGCCGAATTTTTCCAGTCAAGTTCTGAATCATCCATCAGAACAACACTTCGAGAGTAGTAGTAATCAGTCGCATGGGGGGGCTGATAGGGCTGCTACACAGAATCGCTTTCCTCAGCAGAATTTTGACTCTCAGGGCCAGGAGGGCCCACGTCAAGACTCGGGTCAGTTTCTTGACGAGAAAGTCAAATGGATTATCTCGAATTAGTAATTTAAAAAAAAAACAAAACAAAAAATTAGACCTCTAAAATATGGATTAATTAGAAAAATATCAATGGGTTTAGTTTAGTTACATAGAGTGGGCTTAGTTTAGTTTCGAATTTGCAATTAGCCCCTTATTTTTTGAAGGCGAAATTGCTTTTTTAGTCCTGGTTTAACGCCATAACAATTTTAGTCCCAAGTTTTCAACATTTCGCCTTTTGGTCCTATAATTTAAGATTTTGTTGCAATTTCAGTCCTCAAAGGACTAAAAATTGCAGTAAAATTTTGAATCACAGGACCAAAAAGACGAAAAGTTGGAAACTTGGGACTAAAATTGCTATGACGTTAAACCAACAGTACTAAAAATAAAAATGCATTTTTGCCTTTTTTGTTTTCTAGTTCCCTGATTACACCCTGAAACAAGGCAGTGAAGGCTCAATTGCTTGTAATTTTTTTTTTTTTTTAATTAACATCTAAAACTAAATAATTAATCATCGAATCTCTTTTCCTTAAGTACATAATATGAATTTCCATTGACCTCATAATTTTGTTTCTCTCCAGGTAATCAAAATTTGATTATAACTGCTGCTCCTCAATTTCCTTTTCCTTCCTATGCATCTGGCGGTGGACAACAGTTCTTTGGTGCTCCATATGGGATGCCAATGCCTGATTCCACCCAAGACCATGGGCCAGGACAGAACTCGTTGTTGGGCTACCCGACTGGGCCCGCCAGGCCCATTACCTTCCCTTCAAATTATCCTCAGCAGTGGAACTTGGGCCCTGGCACCGTGCCTCTTGAACCTCCCTTGGTTACTCAGGGGCCCACGGATGGCTTCACGAATGTCGATTTTCAAGGTAGAAGATTCTTTCAAGGCGATTATGGGCCGAATGTGGGTATTATGCCATTGAACGTTCCTCAGTCGACAGGCAATAAAGGTGTGGGCCCAATGGACGGGAAAGGAATTTTGGCGGTCCAACCGATGGGGCTTCCTCCTCCGCCGCCTTTGCCGCCACCTCACTCGGCTAATAATCACGATGTGCCACCCGGGTTCGGATGGCAGGATTAGACGTGTTTTTTTTTTTTTTTTTTTT